TGCATATGCAGCTTCATTTTTCACTGATCATTCTGTACAGTTGTAATCGGACAGGGTAATCGGACAGTTGGCTGTAATTGGACACCTTTAACCGGACAGTTGAAGCAACCAATCATACTAAGTCTACTCTGCCAATCCACCAATCACATAAATGATCACAATAACTATGGCAACGACTATTTATCCAAAGAAAAATTATGGCATTTCCAAAATGGCCGAATTTTTAACAAAAGGTATTGTCGCCATTGGAGATATTTGTTCTATGTGTTTTTATTTTTCGGAAATTGCTTAGGGTTATGATTAATTTGTATCAGACCTTCTTGTCATCCAATTCTGTCTGTAATTATACGAGTGATTACTGATTACAGACCGAATTGGACTCCACGCGATCCTATTACCACTATGAATCAAAAGTATAACAAAATTATTGAACGTGACTGGTTATCACCAGCCCGATTGAAGCACTAATAGGTCAGTGTACGCGTCATGCTTATAATTGGACTTCGTAATAGGACAGTTTAAGGGACGGTTACTAAGTCATGCCTGTGTAAATGGACAGAACGCGTAATGGGTGCGCGCTGTTGTTTCGCATTTCGTCGAATTAACTATTTTTGTTTTCTTTTTGGAAAGGTATAACAGGACTTCGTGTCGTCTAATTCTATCTGTAATAATACTAGTGATTGACAAATCAGACTCTCGCTTCGCGGTCGTCCGATTTTGTCAATCATTGGTATGGTTACAGACGGAATTGGACTCCACTCAGTCCTATTACCATTATTAACAAATGCTTTCTTCCAGGCGGCATAAGAACGGAACATGTTTCTAATTTTTTCAATATTGCACCTTAATAGATATGTTAAAGAAAACTGATAAGGAATACGGGAAAATGCCAGGCCCCTTTTAGAAACTGATCGTTTGTTATTAACACAGTGCAGTTACGTTTAATTATGAATCATCTTTGATACCCGATTTATTCGATGGAATGGATCTCATGGATTTCCATGTTTGTTTTTTTTTTTAATTTTCCAAAAAAGGATTTACGAAGCTGTGGTCGTCAACAGTGGTCTCTTTCTGTTCATTATTCGTATGGACACCTCTTTTAGTTGAACGGTCTACACGAGTCGAAATAAAATATGAGGAGATTAAAATAGCATAGGAAAGCTCTTGCAAGCTTCTTGTTTGTAGGTCTTTCTATGACTGGTCCAACGATTGTTTGGAAAATTATATATTGGAATGAAATGACTGATAGGGGAATTTAAAATAACAAATGCTTTAGGGGATTAAAATAGGGCACTCATCTTTTTGAAGGAAATTCACGATATCTGAAGTTGGATGAGTAATAATAATTATCCACCTTAAGAACGGATTTCTGAGCTTGGAAATCTGGTTATTGATTTGTGTCAGTATAACATATCGTAGTTGAGGTGTCTGCACACCGCACATTGACTTCTTCTCCGGTTAGGAGCCGATTTTAGAGGGAGGTACTGAAGAATGAGGGAGTTCGTTCCAGAATGTGTACGACAGTTTTGCTTCTGTGTGTTTGACAAACGTTGTGTGTGTGCGTTCAATTACTATCATTTATCGACGTTTTTATCTTCATTTATTTGCTTTATACGTAATCAAAATTGACGAGAGTTGGAGGCTAAAATTAAGAAGTACCTGTCAATTATTTTATGATCATAGTGTAGATAAAAAATGCCCAAATTTTTCTCTGTCTTTTGTGTCTGAGATCCATGATTATGAAACTAGAAGCGCATATTTTCAGCACCTGAACACTTGCACCTTCAGGATAAATATAAGGAGATTCTGTCCAACAGTTATAGGATGCTACTATTGGAATGATATTCCTATATCAATGCGGGAGAAGCCCAATAGAAAACTTTCAAAAGTGCAGTTTTTATGTATTATTTCACTCAGTATTTATTAATGTCTTCCTTTGACCATGTGATATTAATATATATGTTGTTAAAAGTGCGATTCCTATTCCGTCTCTTAGATATGAATTGGTTTTGTTTTATTGCATGAAAAAATGTTATTTGGCGTAAAGGGCATCTAATAAGTTTGCTTTATTATACCCATCTCCATTTTTTATTTTATTTTGTTGTAATTATTCAAAGGTTGTGATTGTTGAAATGAAGGAAATAATGATTAAAAAATTGATAATAATACAGATCGTAGCGAGTCAATCAAGTAGCACTCCTTTCTCTGAATAATCAGTGTATGCTACAAAGCACGTTCATAAACTTTTGTGTTCATACCACTTAATTTGATATGATAAATAAGATAAAAAATCAATAAAGTAGGTAAATAATAAATAATAAAGTAGGTTCCGTCTTCTTCTTTCCATGATAGAAATTTTACACAGTCTTCGTCAGGTGCAAATCCATACCTCATCCCTCATTTGAGACATTCCCACACCATCGAACACCTTTATTTTATCTTCAACAGTGCTGAGCTGTACAAATCCGGTCGAAGGGTCCGCGGTGTTTACCTGATCGATCCAGATGATTTAGGCGCCTTTAATGTGTATTGTGACCAAACTACAGCCAGTGGGGGATAGACAGTGATCCAGGAGAGAATGGATGGCTCTGTTAATTTTAACCGCACCCAGGATGACCACAAACATGGCTTCAGTAACTTGTTCGGTGAATTTTGGCTTGGACCGGACAAGATAAACCGCCTGACCCGGAACAAGACAAAAAAAAAAAAAAAAAAAAAAAAAAAAAAAAAAGGCTTCGAGTAGATTTAGGAGTAAAAACTGGCAAAACTGTTACCTTGAGTATGGCTGGTTTGAGACTGGGACCACGGCAGCTAACTACCGGCTATACCTTAGCAATATCATAAGTAAGTAAACCCTTTTTTTGGCATTCATCGCTCGATTTTTATACATTGCTTCTCTCACCTAAATCTCGATGTTTTACTCTTCTTGGTCGAATAATGGTATTATTAAGTAGCAGGCTAGTCCTGAGGTAGACCCACACGTTCTGATTGGTTTTTACTTGGTCGGGAGTTTGGTCTGAGTGCCACATAACAAACTTCTTACTTCTTACTAGCCTTATTTTATTTATTTATTCATTTATTTATTTTATTTTATTTTTTTGCGGAAAACAACAAGTTCGAAGCTATAAAGACATTATACCGACCCTAGAATTATGCGGATTTCCTTCGTTCTGTTTTGAAACAGATGCCTCTGTTTCCTCTGATTCCCTCGCTCCTCGGAAAGATCATTCAATTTCTTTCTCGAAGTCACATTGCCGTTTTCCTTCACATCGAAAATTTACTTGGACTGGAGTAATATGGTCCAGTTTGTTTGGATGTATGTGATACGCAGAGGATGGTAGAAAACGCAGTCAGTTTTTTTGTTTAGAGGCTTTGGCTTGCCTGGTGAAACGCGTATATTAAAACTT